AAATGTCAAGGGGGAACCTTTACCTTTACCTTAATCACAATACTCTTAGAATGCCATTTGTACAAAATGGGTAAGGATAATATCTCATTATTTTATTCTTTACATATTTTACAATCATGTTTTAAAGTTATTTTTTAATGGTTGCAGCCTCCAAGAATAAACATTACTTTGTTGAAAAGGTTTTGATTGACTGACTGTTGCCAGGGGGGTACTAGACATATGAAACGTTTTATAGTATGCAATAAAATTCTATATGTTTATGGTACAGATGTTTTGAAAGAGCAACAGGCTGTGACAACAAAACTGGGCTAAGATATTTTTGCCTATAGTATGAATGGTTTGTAAGACAACCATTTTCAAGGAGGTGAAAATGATTTTATGCTTTACTAGTTGTGTGCAATGAATATTTCCCTCTCAGTGATCATGAACTTCCATTAGTGCCAAATTGATTCTTCTGTGTTCTTGCAAAACATCAGAAGGCACTTTAAAAAAAACCTCAATACTCAGACCAATACTCAAATACATTGCTGGTAGTTTATTTATGGAAGTGAAGAACAGATTTAAAGAACTAGATTTGTTGGACAGAGTGCCTGAAGAACTATGGATGGAGGCTTGTAACATTGTACAGGAGGCAGCAACAAAAAACATTCCAAAGAAAAGGAAATGCAAGAAAGCAAAGTGGCTGTCCAACAAGACCTTACAAATAGCAGAGAAGAGAAGGGAAACAAAATGCAAAGGAGACAGGGAAAGTTACAGAAAATTGAATGCAGACTTCCAAAGAATAACAAGGAGAGATAAGAGGGCCTTCTTAAATGAACAATGCAAAGAAATAGAGGAAAATAATAGAAAGTGAAAAACCAGAGATCTGTTCGAGAAAATTGGAGATATTAAAGGAACATTTTGTGCAAAGCTGGACATGATAAAGCAGTGGTTCTTAACCTTTGTTACTCGGATGCTTTTGAACTGCAACTCCCAGAAACCCCAGCCAGCACAGCTTGTGGTGAAGGCTTCTGGGAGTTGCAGTCCAAAACTCCTGAGTAACCCAAGGTTAAGAACCAGTGTGATAAAGGACAAAAATGGTAGGAACCTAACAGAAGCAGAAGACATCAAAAAGAGGTGGCAAGAATACACAGAAGAATTATACCAGAAAAATCTGGATGTCCCAGACAACCCAGATAGTGTTGTTGCTGACCTTGAGCCACATATCCTGGAGAGTGAAGTCAGGTGGGCCTTGTTACATACAGCACTGATGTTACCTGTCTGTCATGGGTTTGGAGGGAAAGTTCCATCCTATGGGGAGTGGAAGGCGGGACATCAGGAGGAGGGGATGTACTGTATATATATGTGGAGCGTGTGTGGAGAGTGGAGAAGAAGAAGCAGCAGCTGGGAAGAAGAAGCTGGTGTGGGAGTCTGTGTGTCAGACAGGGTACTACTGTGTGTCAGTCAGTACCAACCTGATAGGTTCAGGTGTCTGTATGGTTAGCCAGAACTGATAGGTTCAGGGTCTGTGCTTCAAGTTAAGTGTTCTGTGTGAACCAAACTGTGTGCATGTATGAATGAGACTAAGCCACGTTACTATATCTTATTCACCTGATCATTTTATTTTCCCTGTGTGTTGTTTTAAATAAACCTTATTCTTTTATTTGTTGAAAATCCATCCCTGGTCTGTGTGACTTCTTATAGGGAATGGTTGGTGGCAGCTTAGTTAACGTGTGGCAGATCCCAGTAGGTCTGGGTTTGTCACAAGAACCACTGATCCATAGGATTCATTCGAGCTCCGCAGTTCTCAAATATTATTATAGTGGCCTTCAGAAATATTGATTGATTGATTGATTGATCGATCAATCAATTGGTTTTGAGTTTTATACTGCTCCATTGTGCTTAAAATTCTCTCTCCTTGGGCGCAAGGAGCGGATCTGGGCTCGGTTCGGCTCAGCCGTTTGGCATTCAACCCTCTCCCTTTGGCGAGGAAAGAATAGAGCGTGTTTAGCCGCCGTGCCTGAGCTTGAATCAGCTTCCGTCACGGGGCCTCTCCTTTTAATTAAGATTGTTTTTATTAACAGTGATCTGGGTTTTCTTGCTCGTTAGCGAGGAGGGGATCCAGCTGCACCTCGGTTCCGCTATTCTATTCATAACTGGAAGCTCCGGCCGCAAGTCAAAGCAAAATTTTGGTCGCAACTCGAAATGGTCGTATGTTGGGGAAGTGAGAGCTGGACCATAAAGAAGGCTGACCGCCAAAGAACTGATGCTTTTGAATTGTGGTGCTGAAGGCGACTCTTTGAGAGTCACCTGGACTGCAAAGAGAATAAACCTATCCACTTTGAAGAAAATCAACCCTGAGTGCTCACTGGAAGGACAGATCCTGAAGCTGAGGCTCCAATACTTTGGCCATCTCATGAGAAGAGAAGACTTCCTGGAAATGACCCTGATGTTGGGAAAGTGTGAATGCAAGAGGAGAAGGGGACGACAGAGGATGAGATGGTTGGACAGTGTCATCTAAGTTACCAACATGAATTTGACCCAACTCCAGGAGGGCGTGGAAGACAGGAGGGCCTGGCATGCTCTGGTCCATGGGGTCACAATGAGTCGGACATGACTTAACGACTAAACAACAACAAAAGTTAACTTATGGATGGGTGCATGTTGCATGTTTTAGCTACTCTAAACTGATATACAGTTATGCCCTACTGGACGACTACCCTGCTCTACAACGAATCTGCTTTATTTTGCCGTTTTTGCGATCACTTTTACGATCGCAAAATGATGTTTTAAATGGGTTTTTTTCGCTGTGCGATGATCGGTTCCCTGCTTCGGGAACCGATTTTCGCTTTATGATGATCAGCAAACAGCTGATCGTTGGGTTTCAAAATAGCCGCTGCCTGAAGAAAATGGACCCCTGCTGTTTTCTAGGACAGATTCCTCGCTTTACAGGCACTGAAAATGGCCGCCGTATGGAGGATCTTCGCTGGACGAGCAGGTATTTAGCCCACTGGAATGCATTGAACGGTTTTCAATGCGTTTCAATGGGTTTTTAAATTTTGTTTGATGACGTTTTCGCTCTACAGCGATTTCGCTGGAACGAATTAACGTCAAGCAAGGCACCACTGTATGTGGCATTGCAAACTGTAAAGAGAAACAATTTCATCCCACATTTTCTGACTTTTTAAATATACAGGACAAAATCCAATTGTTAGTTCCAACTAAAGTAGAAGTTAATATTTATGTAAATCTGATGGATTGAGTAGGTATACTCTGATCTAATTGGGACTCACTTTTGGTTTGAACCTAGAAATACAACAGTTTCATATTGCCTCATATTTATTTTTAGTGTGCTGTGTTGTTTAGAACATTTAGAGATCTGGGGGATGGGTTCATGTCCCTACTCTGTCCTGAATCTCACTGGGAGATTTTGGAACAGATACACTCTCTTTTAGGCTGTCCCACCTTATAAAGTTATTGTGAGGATGAAGTGAGTAGAAAGTGTATTGAAAAAAAGAAGGAAACAGTGTAACTATATAAATATAAATATAAGCTCAACTTTTCTCTGCAGTAATGGCCTAGGAATAGCTTATTTATTTTACAAAAGGAAAGTGAGCAAGTTCATGTTCCTTAATCCCTTTCACTGCAGCAATCCATTACTTAGACTATAATTAAATTACTGGTGCATGATTAGGGTTAGCCCAAATTGTAGTATGTTTGTGTTTGGGGGAGGGATTTGTCCTGTATTCTGGCTCCTTAAAATAATAGACTTCTAAGTCATGAATGTTCCCTTGAGACTTTTTAGAACAACAAGTGATTGTGGTTAACGCATGATAGGAAGCGGAAGAGGGACATTCTTAAATCGAGTGTACATTTGTAACTAATGCGGTTTTATGTTCTCATTAAAGATGCAAGAGCCTATGTCAGCCTTAAAAAAAAACTCAGTTGTATGCATTTGTTCTTGAAGCAGTTCTGTGCATAGGGATGAAGAAAATCCCAGTTTAGAGATCATGGGAGTTAGGGATTTTGGCTTCCCAATGGTCACCATGTAAGTACCAGGAAAAGAATCTGTGCTCAAATGTTGTCAGTACAATATTTGTCATAATATAATTTTCTGTTAGAGTGCTAAACACAAAATATTAACGCCTGGTTTGCTGCCTTCCACTTAAAACTAATACTGATGTCTGCAGTTTTGAACCATTTGCGCAAATTAATGCATGAAAGCTGTATTCAAAATAATGTGAAGAGATATCCCTGATTAATCAAGCACAAAACTTTAAAAAATTGAATATATGTACATATAAGAATTACAGATTAGAATTAGGCCTTTGAAAAAAACATAGCCTTTTAACTTACACAGAAAGGCATCCTCCAAGACGGCTGGCAGCTGCTGGAAGATATGTCTGCTGCACCATCTGACTGCCCTAAAAACAAACAAACAAACAAACGAAACAAACAAACAAACACCAGTGCTTTTCCACCTTCAAAACAATTGCTGTAGTCCTGTGCTAATTTGTACAGATGGGGAAAGCAATCTACAGTTCAGGAGGAGCTACCCAAAGCCTTCTGGGTTTCTGTCGGCTGGGGAGGGAGCTGTGTTTGCTGCTCTTTCTCTCCCCCCTCCGAACTATTCCTCTCTAGATGTTTGCAATGGAGGAGACATTGTTTTAAACCAGTGCCAAGGCTGATTAAAATATTCTGCTCTCCCAGTGTGGATTGAGTGTGGAGAGGTCTTTGGAGTCTGTGGATCCCCAAGGTTCACCCACTCTGCCCACCTTGAGACTTTTTAGAACAACAAGTGACTGTGGTTAATGCATGATAGGAAGTGGAAGAGGATCCACCTCCCTTCCTCCCTCTGGATGTTTCCAGGGCAACAAGGAGAGAGAGTTCTTGCTCAGGTTTGCTCCCAGGGCATGCAGATTTGCATTTTTTAATCCATTAGTTTACTGATCAAATTCAGTAAGACTTTCTTTAATCAGGTAGACAGCCTAATAATGTCATTTTCTTCTCTTCTTTTCAAGCCTAACCCTTTCTTCAGGCCACCACAACACTGGGGTTCACCACACAGCCCTGCTGCCAAATCCCAGTCGCTTCCCTCTGACCAGCCAGCACCTGATTATGCTAGGATTTCAGAAGCCAGCACCCCTCAGAGGTCTCCGACAAGTGAGCATACGGCAGCCCTGCCTCAAGGAAGGCCATCTCCAGCAGGGTCTCCCCGGAACAGGCACACCCAAACCAGCTCTAGCAACCTCCACCTTCCCTTGGACTGTAAAGTTCAGCCAGCCAGTGAGGATCCAGCAGTTGTAACCCATGAGCAGTTCAAAGCCGCATTGAGGATGGTAGTAGACCAAGGTGATCCCAGAACTATGCTGGAGAACTACGTTAAGATTGGCGAGGGCTCTACGGGTATTGTCTGCATTGCTCGTGAGAAACATTCTGGGCGGCAGGTGGCAGTGAAGATGATGGACCTACGAAAGCAGCAACGGCGAGAACTCCTTTTTAATGAGGTGTCTATATAGAAAGAGATTAATGTTATATTGTCAAAAACTACAGGTCTGCAATCGACTGCAGCAAAGCTTTTCACTGCTGGTTATCTGCAAACAGGCATGAACCCACTTGGAGCATATGTCCTGTTCTAATGCAGTTCCTCGGGTTAAAGCAGGATGTGTGCAGTTCCAGTCACCCGACCAGCGCCGGGAGACTTTCCGGCTTTGACAGGGCCAGGCTAGGGGCACCAGAGTCCTTAACCGCTCAGCATGGCAAAAAACAGAGTTGCTGGAACTGTCCTTAAGAAAAGAGTTACTATTGTGGGAAAGACAGTGCCAAGGTAGCCAGTTAGCCTCCTAGCACTGACTGGACAGCAACACAGTTTTTGTTCGGGGAGGAAGGAGCTCCAGCAACTCCCTTTTTTCCCTGCTTTGATTAGAACTCTGCTGCTGTGACCCCTGTGATCTCAGTAACAGGAGGCAACCCAGCACTGCCTAGCAGAGATGGAAGCCCTAATTTGGTGTTTAAAAGTGTGGATTGGCACAATTTTTAAACCTCAATAGGGCTTACGTCGCTTGCAGTGACAGTACTTGCTGTGAATGCTACCTGTGTCTTCCTCTGGGTGTAGTTTCAGTCATCGTTTGGAGAGAAGGACATGACAAGCACAGCTGGATGGTGGCTGTGATATCTGTGGGCCTCAGGCAGCTGTAGCCAGCCCCCCCCCCCAAAAAAAGAAATTTCTGCAGCTTCTAATTGGAAGAAATACTGCAGGTTGGATCAAGATTACATGGACCATGCTTTGGTCCCACTGAAATCATAACTAACCTGTCTGATTGATTTTAGTGTTATCAAAGTGCGCTTAAATTAATCTGGATCTAACAATATGTTTCTGAAGAGAATGCAAAGACAGCCATAGAAGAAAAAGAGGTAATGATCCAGAAGGTGGTGGGGACTGGGGTGCGTTCTAGAAATTTTATTTGACTTAAGCCAGGGTGGGCAAAACGTGTCCCAAGGACTGAATGCAGCCCCTAGAGCCCCAAATGTAGTGCCCTAGTACTCCTGCCCCCTCTTCAGTTAAAAGAAACATTGTGCTCAAAAAGTCCCCTTTTGCTCCCTGAGAAGTGTATGGGACAACTTTGGAGAAAGAAAATGCAACTAGAGGACATAAGGTTTTTTCCCCTCACACAAAAACCTCTCTGAAAAAAAAAGAAACATATTTTGGAGGGGCAACAGCATGAGAGCTCTTTCCAAAGTCTGGGGTGGTCATGGGCAGTTCCAGACTTCTGGAAGTCACCTGCTCATAGCATAAGCTTTTGTGAACTGCACCCTACTTCATCAGATGCATTGCAGAAAAGAGCTGCTTGTTTGGTTGTTGTGGGTTTTTCGGGCTCTTTGGCCGTGTTCTGAAGGTTGTGCTGTCCTCTGAAGATGCCGGTCACAGAGACTGGCAAAACGTTAGGAAGGACAACCTTCAGAACACGGCCAAAGAGCCCGAAAAACCCACAACAACCATTAGATCCCGGCCGTGAAAGCCTTCGCGAATACAGCTGATTGTTTGTCTGAATAGCCCAACGGCTGAAGCTTTTGAGGCTGATTCATATCACCCTGAAGGCTTGCTGATGGAGGGAGGGAGGGAGGGAGGGATGGCATATGCTCGTTCAACCAGTGTCCTAGTCAGTACAATTTGGGTAAGGATATTGTGAATTAGGGATGTATCAGCACGAGAAATTTCTGTGCATTGTTGTCATTTTTTAACATGTCTGATTTTTCTTCCTGTATTGTGTTATGTAGGTTGTGATAATGAGAGACTATCAGCATGACAATGTGGTGGAGATGTATAAAAGTTATCTTGTGGGCGATGAACTCTGGGTGTTGATGGAATTTCTGCAGGGAGGAGCTCTCACTGATATTCTATCTCAAATCAGGTAGGAAGAAGAATGCCATAGCAAAAGTCTGACTTTTGGAAGGTGTAACTCCCAGAATCTCTTTCGTCTGATCCAAGGCAATGGCCTGCTTCTGGTCTCTGTCTCTTGAGGGTTTGTTGTGGTGATGGTTAGAGATTGGGGTATTCATATTCACATTCACCATCTCTAGTGATGATAATTATACAAACTCATTAACTGATCAATGAACCTTTGTATGGACAGCCTGTGACCTATATGTTGCATATGGGCTTGGACATAATAATTGTATTAAGAATCACAACTCATTTATATCGGTCAAGGACTGTATATTCAGGCCATATTTTTTTTTAACTATAAGGAGTGCATGATGGATCTGAATGGTGGGAGGTTCTGAACAGATAAACGGAAGTACTTTACATAGCATATGTTTTAAACTATGGGATTTAGTGGCACAAAATCTGATGGCAGCTGACAACTTAGATGGCTTCAGAAAGTAGACAAGATGAGACAGCTTCATGGAAGGCAGTGCTTATAGGTTTGGTGACTCTCCTGCCTTCAGAAGCTAAGGCAGCTGTTTAACAACAAAAGTGACTGGGAGAGGCCTCTTGTTCTCATGTCTATTTGTGGACATCTCACAGGAATCTGTTTAACCACTTTGGAAAACAGGATGGTAGATTAGATAGGCATTTGGTCTAATCCAGTAGAAGTCTTTGCAAATTTAGGCAGATAAATAGGCTCAGCATGGATATAATCCATTGTCCAGCATAGCAACTGGTACTCAGTAGGCATAGCAGGACCAATAGCGGAAAGACCATAAGAGGCAGTTATTTTCTCTAGTAATTTATCACAGAGTTTAGAAATTTGATATTTTGGACCAGAATTCCCTGTAGTCCTGTTCTGGGGGTTCTGGGACTTGCAACCCCCAAGAGTCACAGTTCCAAGCTCTGCCAGCCACTCCCAAGACTTGCTAAGACCATGTTGAGCAATGTCAGACGTTTTAACAAATGCTAATTTGGCAGCTTGCTGGTGGGGCAAGGCAGGAGATTGTGCCTGGTTGTTTTCCGTATGATGCTCCTATATAGTGCAGTTTGATCTAGCTATCCTAGCCAGTGATAAACCCTTGTGGCCTCCACAAATTTATCTAATCCCTTTCTACAAACATCTATGGTAGCAGCTGCCAGTGTCACTCCATTATTCTGAATAGAACAGGATCAGGAGATAACCTAAAATGCCATACTGTATAGAAGTGCATGTTTAATTGTTTGTGGCAAGAGAACAACAATTATTCCAGCTGACAATTTCTTGCTGCTGTATTTCAGGCTGAACGAAGAGCAAATTGCTACTGTGTGTGAATCCGTCTTGCAGGCACTGGCCTACCTGCATTCCCAAGGTGTCATTCACAGGGACATTAAGAGTGATTCCATTCTCCTGACACTTGATGGAAGGGTAAATCCTTTCACTACGTTTGTTTTCCCACTTCTCATAATTTCTCCATTTCCACGTGCCATCATAGCTCAGCACTGAGTACGTATGCTGCAGTTTAGAGACTCATGTTAAATAAATGAGACTGAGATATTTCTTTTGTCTTGCTTGCATTCCCAGTTCTCTCTCTCTCTCTCTGTGTTGCATGCTCAGCTCTCTCTCTCTCTCTCTCTCTCTCTCTCTCTCTCTCTCTCTCTCTGTGTGTGTGTGTGTGTGTGTGTGTGTGTGTGCGCGCGTGTGCACGCGCGTGCGCGTGTATGTATCCCATTGTTTTCTTCTATAATCAGTAGTAATGTCAGGAATTCTGCTGTCTTTCTCAACTAGGAAGGTGAAAGGGCTCAGGGAATAATAATAATAATAATAATAATAATAATAATAACAACAATAATAACAACAACAACAACAACAACAACAACAATAACAATAATAACAACAAAACAACAAAACAACAAAACAACAAAACAAAACAAAACAAAACAAAACAAAACAAAACAACAACAACAACAACAACAACAACAACAAAACAACCACATCAGAACTGCAGAACCAATCATCAAGGCCAGCTGCTTTCAAGCAGGCACAGTGGGGAATAGAATTCCCAATTTCCGGCTCTGCAGCCACATACTTAAATCACCAAGTTATCCAGCATTTCCCTGTACTCTATGTGCCTTCTCAGTTGGAAGCTGTGCAAGAGTTTTCTTTATTGTAGGGAGTGGGGCATCAGGAATGGAATGCCCAGGAACTTCTGTGGGCGATACTGAGACCATTGATGGGCTTAGTTGGGCCTCTTGGTCAAAGGTTCTCTCTCCTGAGCTCCATAGACCTCAGTATAAAGCAGTTTCAGTTTAACTTGAACTTTAATTCTGTGTTTTCCTACAACCAGTTTTGTGTGTCCCTTTCATCCATTTCCCTCATCTTGCCTTTTGTTTTGGACTTCCAATAATAATTCTTTTTGCCTTTTGCATAGGTGAAACTGTCTGACTTTGGCTTCTGTGCTCAGATCAGTAAAGATGTGCCAAAAAGGAAGTCTTTAGTAGGAACACCCTATTGGATGGCTCCAGAGGTTATTTCAAGGTCACCCTACACAACTGAGGTAACTATGGTACCTGGAGTGTAGAAGAGGCAGTCAGAGCAAAGCATGTCTGTTTAAATCCTGTTCAAGATGTTCAGCAACCTGGGATGAGCAAAGGGCAGTTCTCAAGGTGATGTTGGACTACAGCTCCCATGATCCCTCAGCAATCCCTATGCTATCTGCAGCTTTGTTGTTGTTTAGTAATTAAGTCGTGTCCGACTCTTCGTGACCCCATGGACCAAAGCACACCAGGCCCTCCTGTCTTCCACTGCCTCCCGGAGTTTGGTCAAATTCATGTTGGTAGTTTCGATGACACTGTCCAGCCATCTCGTCCTCTGTCGTCCCCTTCTCCTCTTGCCTTCACACCTTCCCAACATCAGGGGCTGCAGCTTATGGGGTTGTAATTCAACAACAATGGACGGCAGTATTGAAGGGTCACAAATTGCCCATTCTTTGATGTATAAGATGCAAGAGACAGGATTGTGCGATTTTCACATCAATTTCTGGGGCACTTTTTCTATTCTGCTCCAGTAAAGGATTAGCATGAATAAAAGCTACAATTACAGCTTTGACAGTCTAAAAATATCTTCAGCAGATGAAGTCAAGCACATAAATCTGGAACTTGGAAGAACATCATGGAATAGAGCATGAAGACAAACATATTTTACAGAACTCACAGACAGAGTTCCGACTCTTGTCCTCTGAAGATGCCGGCCACAGAGACTGGCGAAGCATTAGGAAGAACAACCTTCAGAACATGGCCAAAGAGCCCAAAAGACCCACAACAACCATCAGATCCTGGCTGTGAAAGCCTTCAAGAATACATTAAATTTTACATTAATTTTATTCCAATACACTGCAAGAACAACATATGACTTTCGTTTTACAGAACTGTATAGTTTTGGATGGGTGTTTGTGTGAATGAGTAAGGAGGGTAAATGACAGAATGAGAAAAAGGTGAAGACATACTAACAGTTATATTATGATACTTTAGAAAGAGAGAAGAGTCCCTTGCATAATCCTTTATTAGCCAGTAAGTACAATAACTCCCACTAAGTTCAGTATAGTTTATTTCAAGAGTACATTTTTTGAGCCTAGGGGCTGAATGCCAAATTGAGAAAGGACTTAGGGCCTGCATTCTACCAGAGGGTGGCTCTAAGACCACAGAGTGGGGCCCAGGGCAGAGCAGATGGGATCGGAGTAAAAAGGCTGTCAGATGTGATTCTTATCACTTTGGACATATTTCAATCAAGCATACAAAGTACATTTCAGTTCTGTGCAATTCAATTGAATATTCAGGGATCAGCTCCATTGTGCAACAACTTTCATGCCTGCAAAGCACAGCTGAATTCCCTGTGTGGTATTTAAACATTAAATGCCCTTAAATATCCTCTCATCTCTCTGATCAGTAACTGGGGGATACTGGCAAAATAGAGGCCTCTCCCTGGTGCACAGGGTGGCTTTCAGCTTCCTTCTTAAACCTTCATGAATAATGCCTTGCCGTTACTTCTTTCCTCTTCTGTTTCTTTGTTGCAAAGTTCCATTACCGCATTTCCCTGAAAATAAGACAGGGTCTTATATTAATTTTTTGCTACAAAAAACTCATTCGGGGGATGTTTTTTTTTTTTTCATGTACAACGACCTACGTTTATTCAAATACAGTCATATCATCATCTTCTGGTTGCTGCACAATGGTGGTGGGTGGGGTTTCACTTAATTGGGGCTTATTTTGGGGTAGGGCTTATATTGCAAGCATCCTGAAAAATCATACTAAAGCTTATTTTCAGGTTAGGTCTTATTTTCGGGGAACCAGGGTAGTTTTACAGAAGCATCCATGCTGATGACATATCTTGATCTTGCAGGTAGACATCTGGTCTTTGGGAATCATGGTGATAGAGATGGTGGATGGAGAACCCCCTTACTTCAGTGACTCTCCAGTCCAAGCAATGAAGAGACTCCGTGACAGCCCTCCTCCTAAAATAAAGAATTGTCATAAGGTCATTATATTTTAAAGGAATTCCACAAACATTTTGTTGCAGCTGAATAATGTTACAAATGCAGTAGGCAGAAAACATTTGCTGGGGGGTAACTTCTGATGATTTCACATAGTGTGTGCATGCACTACTAGGAAAATTAGCTTGACCACAGTGAACTGTAGGTGTACTGCATACCCACATGATGAAACAAATAGATCAGTACACAAAGCAATATAAATGCAATGTTCACCCCCCCTTTTTTTTAAATGCATGAAAATGCTTTCCATTAGGGAGATATTCAATATTTGAAGCAGACCTGGGAGTCCGTTTAATTACAACACCTGTCCATTTACAACTGGGATGTTGCTGCATGACAGCTACCACCTTTGTCAGTCTTTAGCCCACTAGTTAGTACATAATAAATCGGAGACCTGTTCAGAATCTAGAAATTGCAGCACTAAGGGCTGATCATGCAGGCTGTTGTGGCCTCTAGTGGTGAGTGGAAAAAATTAAATCTTCCAATAAAAGCTTTAATTTGAAACAAAAACCTGGACCTGGCAAGACCAATGGTAAACTTAGTTGATTTAGTTCCATATTTTTCCTTTCATAATGTTTCCATGAACTATTTTGGTGATGCAACAGGGAAGTGAAAAGTTTTACACACTCACCAGAAACAAAGATATTTTGCTTCTTGACTATTAACATGAAGCATAATGTCACTCATGGCAGGTCTGGGTTTTTTTCCTCCCTCATATAAATGCAGAGATTCATTTGTCACACCTGCAGTCTGATAGTTATGCATAGGTCTCTAAAGAACAGTGCCAAGTAATTCTTCCCCCATCATTCAATGTAGAGACAATACTGTTAGCATCAATCACAGTGACAGATAATCTCTCCTCCTTATCACAACAATACACCCACAACAAGACACGCTAATCACCCATCCCCTGAATAGGACAAAAGCCTATCTCACAGCCATAAATACTCCACTCCCAAGCAAACTACACCAGAGCATAAAGTGCTGTCCTCTGAAGATGCCGGCCACAGAGACTGGTGAAACATTAGGAAGAACAACCTTCAGAACACGGCCAAAGAGCCCGAAAAACCCACAACAACCAATACTGTTAGCACTTTAGCACACCACAAGCAAGAGATGTTGGTTTGATTGGGGCAATGTTAGCAGCTCTCCCAGCCATTCAACTTGAGCGTTCCAGACAAATACTCTCTAGGAACATAGAGCTACATTTCATGCCCCTTGTCTCCTAAAATAATCTGATGCTTTTGTGTACTCTGCAAAATGTGGTCCAGGTTGCCACAATGGAAGTTCCAACTATTAGCCCACTTGCATTCTGTGCCTGAAATTGGGAGGTAGGAACATTTTTTTCTTTCCCCCAGATAGCAAAATATTTGGGGCCCACACTGGGACTTTGATAAATAATCTGTACATAGCCTCATGCCATACCAAATGCATAAAATCTGGAGAGAATTCTTGCTTTTAAATAATTTAAACCTCAATTTACAAAATATGTAATTGTAAAACTAAATCCACCATCCATCTGTTAGAGACAGTGACCAGAATCTTACTGAGGTTTACACCAGCATAAGTGCAATTGCATAAAGTGAAACAATGAAATGACACTGATTAACAAGTTGTAGGTTCTCCTTCCTGGTTGCATTCATGCAACCAGGAATGGGAAAGGTAACTCATTCATTAGTGGCAATGTGCCACCACAGTGTGTGCAGTTAGACTTATGCCAGCATACATTCTGAATAGGATTCTGGCCAGTAATTTGCAGCCTCTCTCATTTCCCTCGTTCTTTTCTCATCCACATAAATGGTTGTGGGCTGGGAGAAAAAAAACTTTATGAACTGTGATCATGTCCTTATCTTGTTCTGTTGCCTGTAGTGTCATTGTTTTCAGACTTCAAGCCAGCTTTACAATACATCCAAATAATATTGAACTTAAGAGTTGTTTCTTGGACTGCTTTTGCTTTATGGCTTCATCCTTGTATTGCAGCTGATACACTTTTTGTGTAGCTGAAAAATCCTAACATATTCTCTGCACCAGCAAATAGCTAGATACATTTGCCTTAGTATTACAAGGCTTGATAAATGAAACACATTTATCTCCCTCATTTATTCTTCACAGTAATTCTATCAGATCAAATAAACTTAAAGACAATGAAAGGGAAAGCAATCCAGTGTAAAAAGGAGGAGGCATATCTGCATGACTCTGAAATGCACACACAGACTCATATAATCATGGAGTTGGAAAGGGCCTATAAGGCCATCATGTCCAACCCTCAGCTCAGTGCAGGAATACAGATCAAAGTAGATCTGACAGAAGATTGTCCAATTTTTCCTTGAATGCCTCTAAACATCCTCTTTCAATTTTCTGTGCCTTCTGCTACATTGCATCTGTAAGCAAATATGCAATAAATGGCAGGTGAAATACGCTACAGTGTATTTCAGCCTGGATCTGCCTGTGCCCAAGCAGAGTGTTCTGTGCATTAGCATCCATTGCTTTCAGCTTACAATTCAGAATTAAAATGAACATAAACAAAACTATTATTTCAACGGCTTGCTGTGTGGTGTCACAATTGCTGCAAGCTTAACCGCGTTGATCTATATGAAGATATCTCTATTGTTTATATCTTAGAAAGTTGGATTGCATCTAGCAGCGGTCCTTTTCAAAAATCTGATTTTAAGACTACTTAGTGCTAGATTGGTGCCCCACCCAGACCATGAAAATATATTTATCTGATGGATTCTATTTCTGCAGACCTCTCCAGTTTTAAGAGACTTCTTGGAACGGATGTTAACGCGAGATCCCTTGGAGCGAGCAACAGCGAAAGAACTCCTGGATCACCCTTTTCTGCTTCAGACTGGACTTCCAGAGTGCCTGGTGCCACTTATCCAGCGGTACAGGAAACGCACCTCCACCTGCTGAGCCTAACCTAATGGAATACCAAGTATCATAACATTACATGTCAACATTTCTCCAGGAAATACTAATTGAGTTTGTGTTGTTATTTAAATTATTTATATTATATATTTTCTGCCAGCGGGCCCTCAGACTCATGTACAGTAAAATCTCAACATAAAACAAAGATTTTTTTTTTTAAAAAATCCACTGTTCTTTATAATCAGGCCAAAAAAACCATTACAAAAGCCAAAAGGCCTGTTGAGACAATACAGTTTTTATTGCCTATCAAAAACTTCCCGGCTCCTCTTGGGAGGAAATTCCACAAAGGAAGTGCTGCTACAGAAAAAAAAGCTCTGTCTTGCTGGTAGGACAGACAACAGGACCTCTGATGGGAGATCAGATCATGGACAGGTTCTTCCAGGTGGAGGCTATCTTTCATATATTCTAGCCTCAGAAACAAGGGCAACTCAGCCCTAAGGACATTACTTGGATTTGTCAGTGTTCTTTTCCAAGATGTGAATGTGAGAGGGACTTTTTATCATCGTTAGCTGCTTTTTAATGTTTACCTTTTTTTTTTCTTGGCTGAAGACAATCAAAAGCTGGATTCCTACAAATCCCAACTGTAATGTAGATACTGTCAAGCTCCTGGATATTTTCCCCCCCAAGGATGTACAGACAGTGTTAACTAAGACAGTTCTAAACTGTATCTTCACATCTCTAGAGGCATTAGCTAATGACTGAACTGTAACATCATTCCAGTTGTTCCACGATCTTTGTTCTGTAATCTTTCTTCTATAATATTGACTGTATGGTACACATCCTCACTCTGTATCCCCAAATAGTATCACATCCAATCCCTGTTACAAAGGAACCTTGTATGTTAATTCCTTCAAAATAATTTATACAGTACTTTTATTTCTTCCTGCAAGATTGAATAATATTAGTTGATGTATGGCTCTGCAAGGATGGTCTGCCATTTTGCAATCTTGTCCATCACCACCTGGAGAGCAGCACTTTATTTGACAGACACTTTTTCAGAGACACTGGAACCTTATGCTTGGAATTCCACAACCTGTAAACACAGTGCCTTCTCTAGCAGTGACTGAAATAGGAGGCATAATAGGCATTGTCCAAATAAGAACTTACTACATTTGCTAGTATCAGATGGATGCACAAAGTTCACTGACAGGTGCCGCTCCAAGGCTGCTATTAGGTGGTGTTTCTACCGGCTTTGAATCCTGTAGCAAGATCAATAAAAGCATTTATGCTTTCCCCCCACTGAAAGTTGGTTGTTTTACTGTAAGAACATTTAGTCTCTACCTCCCATGTTTGTAAGAGTGGGGAAATGCATGGAATGTGCTCATGATTCTAGAAAAACCAGATGTAGGATAGCTACTTTTAATATTCTTTTCTAAAGGTGACACAGAAGTTTTGTACAAAAAGTCTCATCAGTGTCAAGGTTATCAGGCTGAGGTCATTTGACATATAGTTTAGGTTGTATTTTGTGCATTACTGTATGGAATAGAATTGTGGCATATCTGGAATTCAGTCTTGTGATGCAGATGTTTTGCATTTGTGGACAAAAGGGTTATAGAAAGTGGGGAGGGGGGTTGGGAATGGGTCTCGTTTTATGTGTACTCTCTCAAAATCTGCCCTACACAATAGGCTCCCATCTGCCCAGTTGTAGACAAGTGATAACAATAAGAGAAAGTGAAAATGACAACAACCTGAAATGTTGGGGAAATGTTTGTTGTAAAATATTTCTGTATGTTCCAGGATATTGTGCAAAAAAAAGTTTTCTTTTTAAAAAAATATCTAATTATCTTGAAACAAATATTCCTCCTTTTTGTGAATTGTTTACATTTGTTTTAAATTAAAATGATTTTTTGATTATTCATAAATTTACTGCCACAAAGTTTTCCTTTTTAAAATTGTGGGTATTCTGATATAATGAAAAAGGGCACAATTCTGTAAAGAGTTAATGTCTGATCATAGTTTCATACTTTTAAACCTGGAAGAAACTGAGGTTGGATAGGACTATCATATATTCAACTGCATATGATCAAAGCAGTTATATTTAAGAACGTAGCCCATCACTTTCAGTGACCGGCCCATTTGTTTTTGTATACAGAGACTGAACATGTTGAACAGGGATTAGGTCAGAGGGTGCAATATTGACTCCAAAATCTGATATGAACCATACTCTTCTGCCACCAAATTTCACAAGCAAACTGTGATAAACCTCATCAGGGGCTGGACTCAATGATCCATGGGTGCCCTTCCAGTTCTGCAGTTCTCCTAAGATCTCCTTGGGTTACATGTTTGGTCTGCTTAATGTTACAACAATCCACAGCAGTAAAAACGGTTTAGAAAACAAAGCAACTTTTCAAAAATACAGTAGGAAAAACTCCAGTACAAACCTGGGAAGAATTTACTGTAACAACTCTTCAAATGATGAAGATTCCAGATCTGTTTGGCACTGAGTATGAAGAGATCCGTTGTTTTATTTTTTTGAAGCACAGAAATATGAATATGCTTGCAGAAGCAACAATGTGCCAACAAAGACAGACAGTTCAGAGGTCCCTAAAATGTTCCCTGTTTGCTCTGTCTATTCTAGTGTTTCCTCATAAATTGACTGATGTCCCAGTTATTGATGGGAAAATCATGCATGAATCTCCTTTAATACTAGGTGACTTTGAGAAACAATTTGAGCATCTGCTATGAAATACAGAGTTGGTTCTTTGAGACTACGCCTATAGACAGTATGACTGAGTTAGATATTTGGTTGTACAAAGAATTCACTAAGGACAGAGCAGCCATGGCGGCAGTTTTGTGCCACCATTCATAGACCTCATCATGCAGCCCTCCTTTATGAGTAATCTTCCTACTCTGCTAGTGAAAAAGGAAGTCTACTACACCCAATAGCCGTTCAGCTTATCTTTCAGAGAGCACAGCACCTCTTTAGTTGTGGAAACATACCATTAATTTTATACATAACTAACATGCTGATGTCCAGAGCACAGAAACATTATTTTTGGACCATTCATAGAATTTTCTCGAAGAATTCTGAGAGTTAAAGCTGAAAATCGAAGGATGTAATTAAATCAACAGTTTACTAAGAAGAAATCCCCACTCCAATAGCACACGAGTGTGTCATCTTCTGAAGGTTAACAAATTTGATCCATGTAGACTGGTGGAAACAGACATTCCAAACTGTGTATCTTCTTATGACTAATACCCTGCACTTGAACCCATAAAATGGAAAATAGAGTGGTTGTGGTGTTACTTTTCAAGTCATACCCATGGAAAAATGGTCACGCAAGAACAGATTAATTAGAAGAGCCACACAATTAGCAAGAAAATCACAATATGGAAGCCAATTTTATTGCACTATATTGAGAGAAACATTTGTAAGTTATAAAACGCATTCCCATGGAAGAATAAAATTCACAGCCTGGTATGAAGACGATGCATTCTTAAGAAAAATCAGAACAGATCACATCTAACCACGGTTTGTGAATGCCTTACTTTGTAAACAATTCAAGTCCAAAAAATAAATGAACAGCTATTATAACAATACAGTACAAAAAAGCAAAGGGGAAATATGTAGTAATCGTGTTGATAGTGAGCATGGATTTAACAACACATTATTGCTCCATAATGCATTTCTACATTTCTTTATTTGTTAGATCAAAATACAAATACAGAGATATCAAGGCCCCAGGTGTAATTTTGGATCTAGAAGATACATGAACAAAGCTGTGAACAGCCACAGACTCGTTGGCTTTCCACAACCTCTGGGTAGAGTGGGCGGCCTATAAATTAAATAATTAAAATAATAAACAAACAAACAAACAAACAAATAAATAAATGCAGCACCAACTCCCTGTTTCTAAAGTGGAAATACTATTCTAATTTATAAAGTTGTCACAAGGAAGAATGAAACAGAATTATTAACTTCTTGGTCTGCTAGAAATAAACAAGTTTAAAAACTTCTTTTCTATCTTTTCTTTCCTGTACCTTTCCTGATTTCAGGTTTATATGGAATCTAAACAGTTAAGAAAGTTCTCATTATGACAAAAATCTTAAGGAGGCAGAGATACTGAAACCAGACAATCTTATGGTGAAAATATGGGAAGTGAAAAAAATGGATATTCTGTCAGATGGGCTGAAAGACTGTTCAATTCAAAAAGAAACTGAACGATGGGATGTATTGTATAAATGGCAGCAGCTACCAGACAATGTTGGAATAACATAGAATAAAATTAAAATTAAATGATAAGATAAAAGCAGGAGGGTAATCAAACTGTGAAAAAGCAAAAAGTTGATATGTATTAGTAATATGAATTGATTGGATGATGTTATACTTTATGCTCTCCTATCCCCCAAAACCATTTTCCCTTCTCTATCCCCTCTTTCTTTTTGTACCCTTTATCCCTGTTCCTAAATAAATGTATAAAAAAGGGGAAAAAAAACAGTTAAGAAAGTTCTGAGAACAAAATTTTAAAAATCACATTCCCTGAATGCTGACCAAAGTCCAGGATACAGACAACCCATCAGCACCCTGCCATAAAAATGGGGAAGGGTACTGGATGTTGTCTGTGTTTAAACTATTTAGGAAGAGGCAGTAGCTCTGTGGGAAAACGGTTGATTTACATTGGGTTATTCCGGCCACACTACGTAGTTATATCTTGACATACATAAAAGGAAATAATATACAGAGCTAATGCTTTCCTCCCCTTGCACTATAGGTTTGTTAAGTTGGAATATGTAAATGTTAAGGGGGGGAAAGGAAAGGTGTATTTTGTATCCAATTAACATTAGGTTAAGAGTTCAGAAACGCGTAGTATGTACTAGTTAATTCTTAATGTTGTTAGTTTGGGAGAGAGGAAAAAAATCATGTCAACAAAGATTATGACCCTGTTACTTAATGCTAGTCTTTAAACATTTTCTCCCTTTTCTTCCCTTTCCTTCCTCTTTCTTCCTCTTCTTCTCTCCCTTTCCCTTTGAGGATTTCAGTTGATAGTGAGTCTTGGTTTCCCAAAACAACCCTGGTCAAACTATTCCAATTCTTTTCTCAGGCACTCGTACTGCAGATCAGGTCTTAAAGATAAACTCCAACACAAACAATATTCTAGAGGTCCAGCAATTAACAACAATCTCAAAGTTTTTCTGTGGTGCATATCCCTATCTG